CCCCCTTTTTTTTTTTTATTTAAGATTTATTTTTTTATGCATTCAGAACTGGGGAATAGGCCAGAGGAGCTGAGGTGGTGAGAGGATTCACCAGAGACAGAGTGGGAAGCAGAACAGACTGACTAACAAAGTTAGTCACTGCTGAGGAGCAGCAGGCAGGTCAGGAGAGGTCTTGCTGTGCCATGTGGGTCATCTCTGGGGTAGGGATCTAACTCTCACTGAAGCGCTGTGGCTTGTTTGCAGTGCTGAGCTTTAGCCTGCTGCACCACTAGGGAGCGCCCTCACGTGACATTTTAAAGTAGGTAATGGACATAGAAGTCCAACGTTTAGAGGATAGGTCCAGGAGAGGTATTTTATGCCATCGAGATGGTATCGAATGCTGTGATTATTGAGGTCACCGAAAGGGTAAGTGTAGATAGACATGAGAAGAGAACCATAGACTGAGTGAGGAGTCAAGGAGAAAGCAAAGAGAGCTGAGAAGGAACCACTAGTGTGGTTGGGGACAGCCAAAGGGAGCCAAATGCAGAAAATGTATCAAGGAGGAGGGGCTGGTCATTTGCGAACTGCGACAACAGGACTGAATAAGGTAGAGCGTGTTCTCACGCGTAGTGATTTGCTGCTCCTGCAGCTGAATGGTGAGTGACAGGGACCTGTGCGCATTCACCAAGCCTCGCCTGCTGCCCAGCAGCCTGTGTTTCAGCTAACTTTGCTCTCTGCTTAACACAATTTCATTTTGTGGGAGAAATTATGGGCTGTGAATATATAGTTAGAACTTGTCAGTCTCCCAAATATGACTCGACATATTCATTATTAATAACGTGAGCCTACTGAGTGCTTGAAAATATACTATTTAATATTTTATTATGTATATGCGAAAATAAAAACACAAAAAGGTACTAAAGCTACTCCTAACACTGACACTAAATAAATGTTTATTAAGGTACTTTCCACAGAGAGCTATATTAGAATTACCTGAGGGCTCTTTGTAAGCATACAGATTCCTAAACCCACATTTATTTATTTATTTATGCTTACAGAACTGGGGTACAGGCCAGAGGTACAAGGGCGGTGAGAGAACTCACCAGAGACAGAGTGGGGAGCAGAACAGGCAGATCGACGAAGTACACTGCTGAGGGGAGCAGCAGGCGGGTCAAGGGAGGTCTGCCTCTCCCTGTGGGTCACCCCTGGGGCCCAGACCTAACACGCACTGAAGCAGCTACTGCTCTCTTGTAGTGTGCCCTAACCCGCTGTGCCACCAAGAAGGGTCCTAAACTCACATTTAAATAACCTCTAGAGTTAATGAGAGCTACAGAGTACTTTTGCACATCAAATTAAAGAAACTCTTCCCTGAAAACCATTACCATCTCAAACCCCCCACAATCCTGCCACAGAAGTAATTTTATAGTTTGGCCCTCACTATATATATATGTGATTTATTTTACTTTTAAACCTCATAACATCTTTTTATTTATTTTCCTACAGATTTTTCATATTGGTATCTCCCACTAGCAATATTTTAATATTTTTATGTTACATATATGTGTGTGTATTTAACATATACTACCATATTAACAAACTTTCTCTTAATAATTAGGTGAATGGGCTATTTCCATATTTTACCATGAATATATAATGTTCTGTTTAACATCTTTGTGCAGGGTTTTTTCCCCTTTCAAGATCCCATGTTGGTCTGTCTTCCCCCACAGCTGGCAAGGCTTGTGCAAAGGGTCTGACCATTTTCTGATTAAACAGGCTGCCAAAATGTGGGAAGAAATATAACATCAATTCACTGTACATCAGCGGTATCTCTGTAACATCCTTTTAAGTCCTGCAAATAATTGGGTTTTGTCACATATCACACTTTCCGATTTAATGAAAGAGTGGCATTGCTTTCTAGAGGATTTAATTTACATTTCTGTAATTATCAATGCAATTACATTTTCTAATATTTTTATTTCCTGTCTTTTTATACCAGATAGGCATTTATTCTTTGATGCTCTCCTTATGGACTAGAGGACTTTTCTTTAACTTTAAACCATTTTCTTTCAACCCAAATTATGACTACATTCTGTTATTTTGTCTTTTTATTTGTACTCTTTATTATGCTTATTTTTTGTGGCTTGATTTGAAGCCATCTTGCTATACTACTGTAGTATGTTAGGCTAATCATATGTGGCTCTTATTTAAACTAATAAAGAGGTTCCTATTGATACAATTCCAGTTTCATATAAAGTACTCTATATAAAAATTAAGACTTTTGGCTTTGCCAGGCCTCTTTCTCTGAAGCTATAATTTTTAGAAGTAACAACTCTTGAATGATTAATTATACCTTTACTTATACCAGTAAGACCATAATTAGCTGTTGGCACCTCCATCAAAACGTGCAAGTGGCTTATGGTCTTGACCAATAATTCTTCCCTTTCATCTATTTATAGGGAAAAATTTGAGGCTGAAAATTTGACCACTCATTTCAATATAGTGCATTCCTTTGTGCTTATCTCACTGTCATGCCCAATGGTATATTAAGCAGATTTTTCTGTAATTATGGGTATTAACTGAAATGTAGAATTAAAATTCACCTCTGAGCTCCTTGGGTTAGGCAGATATGTCAAAATACAGACCTTGTATAGAAAAATTTGTAACATGCTGACCTGCTTTCTCCCTTAAAATAGCTTCTCTGGAATAAAAAAAAAAAAAAAAAAAAAAAACTCCCTTAACATTAAAAAGTGAATGGAGAAAGAAAAATTGAACCTTAACCTTTGTCCCCACTACTTAGAAATATTTAGAAGGTAAAATATATGGTGACATTGTCAACCACTGATCTTTGAACAAGTACTGCCTTAAGACCCTCAGAAAAGCCTGATGAAGTCATGAAACACTATGTAAGAACCAGCAGCATCAAAATTGCCTGCACTGTTGTGAATATACATAATTATTCCCAGCCCCATCTTGGTCATAATCCTCACAAAGAGAACTAGCATAGTGATGACCTAGGAATCTGCTTTTGTTATGGTTTTTATTGCAAGGTTAAGGTAATTCACATAGATTTACAGTGATTGTAAACACATAGATTTACAGTGATTGTAAAGATACGTGATACTGTTTATTTTCATTATATATGAGTTATATATGAGTGAACTATATTCATTTTCCAAATACTCAATTGTGTCTCTCTAATGCAACCAAGATACATGCTAATATGATCACAAATATACGTCATACCTTCCAATATAATCATGCATTCATGTATACAAAGTTGATTATAGTTTAATTTCTTTCTGAAAGAGAAGACTTTCTTCAGTGACACATCACTGAAAGTCCCAAATGGAAAGGGGAGAAAAGCAGAAAGGTCTTGTTGAAATAAAATTAGTGGACACAGAGTCCCATGCATTCTGTTTGTTTACCTCCACATTATCACTAAAGCCTGTATGTGGAGCCTTAAGAAATGAGGAATCAGGTCCTGCCAGGTGGTACAAAAGGTTAAAAGCACAGCACTATAAAGATCTCCTCAGCCACTGCACCATGAGCTCAATCCCTGGCCAGGGAAGCACAGAAGACCTCTCCTGACCCGCCCGCTGCTCTCTCAGTAGTGTACTTTGTTGATCTGCCTGTTCTGCTCCCCACTCTGTCTCTGGTGAATCCTCTTACCCCCCAACTGGCCTGTACCCCAATTCTATATGCATAAATAAATCAATATCTTAAAAAAAAGAAAAAGAAATGAGGAACCAAGGAGAAGGAGAGAGACAAATACCAGATAGTTTCATGTATATGTGGAACCTAGAGAAACCAAGCAAAGGATAAGACAGACAAACTCTTAAGACTGACCCTTAAAGGCAGACCATAAATCTAAGATGTTTAGGAGAGGGGGAGGGAGAAGGAGAGGGGCAGAGGATAGAACAGGGAGGAAGGAGAGCCAGTGGAGTGTGATTGAGGATTGTGGGCACTTTGGTGTTTGGAAAATGATGGTGACTGCATCTGAGGGGGGAAACCCTATATTGTCAAAAAAGTTAAGGATGTTTAAAAAATACAAATAAAAGAAGAAATGAGTTGCTCATTTCAAACCATTATAAATAAGTGATAAATAAATGATAATGTTACACATATTCATACCTGTATATATTTTTATATAATTAAAGGTTGTGTATCAAAGATCTTTTTGCACAATTAAAATGTGATTTTCATTACAAGACCTTTGAGTTATGGTTTAGATTACATATGTTTTATTTTCCTGAAACTTGAATGTAAGTGTAAATTTAATTTTCTTCCTACCGAAAATAATTTTAATGTTTCACAAATAAATCAGAAAGAGTTATGAATGAGATCTGACACTGGACAAATCAGATATTCAAAAGTGATCATATAACTATCTTTTGGATCTAAAACATTTCCCTCAAGTTCTAATTCTGGCAATGTGGAGGACTGAGTTGACTTAGATTCCCTTAAACTATCAAAACAGGAATGTTTAACACATAAAGTCAGTGTAATAAAACTTTTTAATACAGTGGGAATGTTTACAGGTATAAAGGAAAACTCTAGTTGCCAGAAATAATAAGGGACATTACGCTAACAGCAGAAAGCTTGAAAATTGAAGGCATAGAGGCTTGAGAATGACTTTAGATTGCATGTTGTTTCCAAACCTGAGTGCTGTTTACAAAGAGAATGAAGTAGTCTTGACCCTCTTAAAGAAATTGAGATCCCTGCTCAAAGCCTGGACATGGAAAGACTTTTCTGTGAAACTGGAACTTAAAAACAAACAGACAAAAAACCTATTCATTAAGCCAGGAAAGTAATAAGAAAGTTTGTCTTTGTCTTGGATAGTAAATTTAACAAAATTTCCTTTAGAAAAAAAGGGTATTTTTCTTGTATTTGGTTTTTATCTTCAAATGTATAACGTTCACATGATATGAAAAAATCCACTTTGAGAAATGAATGTAAAAGCAAAATTTGAATTGTTGAAGTCCTAAGAATATTTGGTGAAAGCAAACACAAATAACCCTGTTCTTTCTTTCCTCATGCAGGGCTCATGACTATGTACACAAAATAAAACATTAAATATCTTATAAGTAAATTATTCATCATGAGCAAGGAAACCCAGTGAGCAGTATAATTAGTGCTTCAGAGCCATGGGTAATAGGGTGATAACTTGGAATAGACCAAGAAAGAAAGTTTAAAAAAGAAGAAGGCAGGGAGGAAACGGAGGAGGGAGTAAGAGAATGGAAGGAAGAAAGGAGAGGGAGGGTGGGAGGGTGGGAAGAAGGAAGGAGGAGAAAGGAAACAGGAGAAAAGAAGATCTCACTATGTAAAAGGAGTAGGGTGATCTCTAGCAAAAACACAGAAAGTCTAAACTTAGAAACTATATTTCTTGATTTTCCTAAGACTATGACATTTACCTAGGATGTTAAAGGTAATTGAAGCAATGTTGTTCATTTTCCACAATTCTCATCAAACGTCATCTTAGTACTCCCATTTTCTGTTTTGGTTGGTTACCCAAATAGCATCCTTATTGTGCTTCAAAGACATTCGGAGTGAAAAGTCTGAGGAATGACTGCAAATATTACTGCGATGAAGTGTCCCTGACAGGCTTCTTGGTCTCGTCATCTGTGTGCAACCCCAAGGTGCCCACATAAATTTCCCCCCAGATTTTCATGAGGGATAATGTTTTAATACATTTTTCCCACTGAAAGTAGGAAAGAAAATTAGAAGGAATTTGTTTTATTTGTCTTTGAAGCTTTTTTATAATCCTTTCTCTGTCCCAGCCCTCTTCTCCTAGAACTTAGCCTAGTACCTGACACATAATAAGGACTTAATAAATGCAGGCTCATTTAGTAAACTCTCCAAGGACACATAATCAGTATCTTTTGATGCTTATGAGAATTCAAAAGATAGATTTTTGTAGTTAAGCTCTGTCTTCTTCAAAAGAATTGGCTGTGCTTTATTCTAAATATATCAGAAAGCACTGAAATTATAAAATGGCAATTTTTAAAATTTACCTTGCTTTTTATCTTGATTTTATTTAGAAACTCATCAATTTCTATGATTTCTTACTTTTTTTAATTAAAGATTTTTTTATTTATGCATACAAAAAGTGGGGTATAGGCCAGAGGTGTGGGGCATGAGAGGAACCACCAGAGACAGAGTGGGGAGCAGAAAAGGCAAATACCCTGAAATACACTGCAACGGATGAGTCAGGTCTGCTGTGCCATGTGGGTCACCTCCCTGGCATTGGATTGAACTTGTGCTGCAGTGGTTGTGGATAGCTTTATAATGCTGTGCTTTCACCCATCAGGGAGGTTCCTGATTTCTTACTTTTAAATGTTCATTTCCATCCCTTCCTCTTCACAGTCCTGATCTGCCTCAGAGGAGAATCATTTCATTGATGCACTCTGAAGATGGTTCTTATGGCCTCTTTGACCATTTATTCCTCTATTATTTTCCAGTAAATACCTCCATGAAGCCAGCTGTAGATCTCTCAGCACAAATGGGCCACTTAGAAACCCTCAGTATTTCCCATCTGTCTACCAAATAGAGTCCAAATTCAAGATTCCTTACCCTGTGGCCTGACTCCAGCTGACTTCATCAGACTTCTTTCTTAATGTCTTCTCTATTAATAATCTATGTGCTGGCCAGCCCCACTTCTTTGTTTTTCCCTGTATGCTTCCTTTTTTTCTGTTACCACTTAAAAAAAATTATTCTTGTTATCATAATTTACAATTTTCCCCTCAGGTGTTCCTGTTTTTGAATGGGCTCTTTGGTGTCTGATTCTATCTGGTCCTCACTGAGATCTATCTCATGGAGGTAGTGTGGCTTACTTCAGGTCCAGGAGCATACTGTTGGCTCACTGGAAACACTGCTTCCACATAGCTGCACACAGGTCACGTCGGCTTAAGTTCATTTGGAAGTCTTCCATGTCCCAGCTTCCTACTGTTCACAACATCCAAACTAGGATATGAGTAGCTGCATTTATTTAGCTTGTAAAACAGTCCGTGTCCTATTCTGGATATTGTGAAATCTGGGCTTGAAATCAGAACCAACAGAGAAAAGAGGAGCCTTTGTATCATACTCTTTGAGGTTCACACAAAGTGATGTGTTTGGAATTGTATTTATCAGCTAGTGTTGAAGGAGCTTATAAGCATGAGCAGCAGTTAGAAAAACGTGTGAGTATATATATCATTGAGGATACCGTCCATTACATAATTCAATATTTTTTTTATGAGTTTTCATGAGCTAGTTTTTCTCTGGTCTCAGACTAGACTGCATTTTGTTGTTGGTCATGTGTCGCTGTGTGTGGGTGCTCCGAAGTGCAGCTGTGCTGAGCCCCACTTCTGCCAAGTGTTTGGGGCTTCTCAACATAAAGTTAGGTATGGTGGCTTCATATTACTGTTTCAAACCTTCACCCAAATTTCTGATTTTATCATTCATCTTGATTTTTGTCTTATTAGTGTTTATAATCTAACTTGTGGGAACAAAATGGGATATAAACTCACATATAAGCACATACCCCTATATTTATAATTAGATAATAATAATTTTTCGTGTAAAAAGACATTTTCAAATTATTCCCAAGTGATAGCGTTTAAGAAAATGGACTGAAGGATAGTTTAAATATTCTACTTTATTCTTAATAGCTTGATTCCTCTATTCCTAGTCACTGCAATAATGGCATGAAACATGAAGAGATGAGTTTTTAAGGATTAAAAGTATAATAGCTGAATACCAAGTATACTGAAAAGACAGGGGATAACAATGATGCCAAGTATGTCTATCTGTCTGTCTCCCTGCATATTCATTCTTTCCTATTTTATCTACCTGCATATTCACTCAGTGGAGACAGAGTTCAGGACCTAAGTGAGATCACTTAGCAATCAGCTTCTTCATACCATTTTGTCACAGTCACAATGTACTACATATTATCCTAGTCACTAGAAGTAATTTCTGATTTTAAGAATTGTGGAATCTTTTTTTCATTTTCAACTTTATTCAAAAGGATTACATATAATTCAAAAGAAATCCTTCTCTAACCCAAAATAATTGCAAAGGAAATTTAAATTTTTTATGGCATAGATACAAATAAAGAAGGTCAAGGAAATCAGCAGAATTTTCTGAATTTTCCTCTTAGAAAGAAAAGATAATATAGGGCTAGAACAGTGAATCCTCATCAGACCAACATGGTGTCAATGGAAACTGCTAATAAGATGTGCGAATTCACCAGAACAACAAAAACAAAAACATTTGGGAAGCAAAGAGCTAACAAGTGAGAAAGATGATAATATTCCATCCAAGGAAGTTACCATTTCTACTCTAACTGCCCCATACCACCCACTAATGACTGATAACGAACATAGGTGACCAATCACCTCTAGAAGGCATAAATCTCTGTGGTGTTAGGACTGCCGGAGAGCTAATGCAGTGTGACATTGTGGTCAGAAATTTTGGGAAATATATTCCAGAAGAAAAAAAATGTGTATATAGCCTCAGGTTTTTGGTTGATGCAGTTTGGGTATAGGGACATTAAATCGATTGATCAATGTGTAATATTTATCTGCTTGCTAAAGTGTGTATGTGCGAAAGTAAAGTTGTTTTGTGTACAGTAACAACTTTGGAAATAAATGATATTTTTTTAATTTCACAGTGTGTGGACAATATACGATGTAATGGTTTAATGACTATAGTGTTTGAAGAAAATTCCAAAGTTTCTGTGCCACATATGATTAAGTAAGTATAATAACCTTTTCCTTTACATTTTAATCAAGATCAAATTGGTAGAGAATGTAAAATACTGAATTAAAGATTGCTTTAGTAGGATTCTGTTTCATATTGACAATGTTATTGTTAACAGTAAAGCAGTAACTCATGCTATGCTATTATAAATAACAAGACTATCAAAATCGCCTTAGCATCATTTTACTTTATTGACTCACAGAAAAGAAAAACCTATTTTCCATGCTGTTGCATATTTTTCCACTCAGGACATAAGCCTTTTAGATTTTCAAGTTCAAAATAAAACATGGCAACCACATTTGTCCAAAGTGGAGGGTTGACCTAGAAGAACAGATTCATGTGGGGTTGGCCCAGAGAGTGTGAATATTATAGAGACTTGTTATAGAGCGATATTTAAAATTTGAAGATATCCAACATGAATTAACCTATTTTTAATGTTACCATCTTTTGCCTAAAAATGGGTTTGTTCCAGAGTCTATTGCCCAGAGCTGCCATTCTGCTCTCTCTATTTTGATCATAAAGCAAATTATATAAGTTATTACTAGAGAAATAATAGTTTAAAATGAGAAGTTAAATTAGTACAGAGTAGTGAAAACAGTTTAATGTTAAGATTAAAACATATGTATGGAAATTAAGTCAAAACATCCATATTGTTATTTTTTAAATTCACATCCATCATTGGGTTCGAGTTTTCTTCCTAGGATTCTTATTCTCAAATTTCACAAAATAGCATCTATTACTGTCTATTATTTTTACTCATTTTTAAATATAATTTTTTGAAGGTTAGGTGCCTATGAAAATCCAAATTTCTTTAGAATGAAAATGTATGGGTCAGACATAACAGCCAAGTTATAAGATACTAAACCCTAGGACAGCTCTATTAAAAAATATGGATAAAATATTTAGTTTGTGGCTGACTGGTTATGGCCAGCTCCAGATTTTGTTCCCTCCCTGGTAGTTTATCCATTGTCCATGCTGATAATAACTAACCTGTGCACAGACCTGTGCTCTCCAACTTTTAGTTTCATAAACACTGAAACGAGCAGGACCTGCTCACCTGCTACAATAGAAACCAGTATCTTGGACCATGAGGACTTTCTATGAGTCACACATGTTTGGTGCCCTTCCATGCTATACTAAATGTATCACCAAGTCAGAGTAAAGTTTCATATAGTTCTTCTCTCTTTACCCAAGTCACCAATCAAAGGAAAGATTTTGCAGTCACTGTCCCTTCTGATAGTCCCAACCACAACCCTTTTCTACCTTAAATTCTAGTTTGTTTGTTTTTGTCTCCCTATACATTTCCTTGGCTATCAATAAAAAAGAAAAAAAATCCAGTCAATTTAAAGTGTTAAAAGAAAAAAAAATTATTGTCTTAATTGTGGCTTGTTACTAATCAGACATCACTTTGTAGGCACTCTCTTCCTTTTAAAAATTACTAATTATGATAGGTGATCTGTGTTTAATAACTCAAGACTGCTTAAGTGTTTACTGAAAAGGAATTGTTATTATTACAAGAGACTAAGAGACTTTCTTGAGGGTCCCTCAGGAAATAAAGTTCCTGTCAGTATAATAAAAGAAAATTAAATAATTTCATAAATTTAATTTTTTTCTTTACTTAAAATGCAGATGCAAATTACAGTTTGAAGGACAGTGGCATAATTAATTTTATTTTAATTACATTTTGGTTACAACATATTTTTCTCTGGTTAGAGTTTTGATTAAGGTAATTATAGTAAAAGTATGCAAAATTAAACTGGTAAGGATGCCAAATCATGACATTTATTAGGTGGAAATATGTTCTTAGGTGACATTTTACACTTTATGTATATAGATTCTGTCTTGATTTCTTTGGTTGTTAGGTGACTTGAACTTCCTTAACAAAGTATAGATTTTTGGTGGAAAAAGTGTGAGAAACAGTGGTTACCTCTTATTTAGTTCTCTTATACATAGAATGACTGATATATAAAAATTTGTAAGGTATTTTGACAAATGAGAAAAGTAAGAACCAGAAGGATAAAGTTGGTCTTATGGATAAAAGAGTGAGTGGGAGAAAGGGATGCTATTTTTAAGAATCTCAAAAGATGCAGTTGTGTATTTTTGAGATCAGTAATAGGATTAAAACTAACAGGCCACCCTTAGCTAGTTCTTAGGCATGGGCAAGCTACTTATTTAAAATGCACTTTCAGATCTACACATGAACTCTTTTCACCCTCCCTGAGCATACCCTAGGGTGGGAAGGATCTATGAACAAGATAAGACACCCATTGACTCTGTTTATCCAAAAGAACATATATAATTTAAAATCTCTCTAAGCATGAAAGGGATTATTAAGGGCACTCACAATAGCTCCACTGATTCTTAGCAAGCAGTTGCCTGAACTGAGCACCACTGGCCCTATAGTATGTCCTTTAATCACGTTGTAAATCTGGAACGTCGTGCACTGCCCATTGCAAAGTGTTGCATGAATGGGAACGGAGCCCTCAGAAGGGGTGTAAAGGCTGTGGGCTGACCTACTGAGGTTGGTGCTTTTCTTTGAGCCCTACTGGATTCAGTCTCAGCCTCTAAGCTTTTCCTCTTACTACACTGTCCTCTTTCTCCCTTTTTAACAAATGTGCCCCAGGGGCTGAGGGTTCTGAGCATAGCTAAGGATTGTGAGGGCTGCTATGTAGAATTTACCCCAGTTTTCCTCATCGCCTGAAGAAGCTGCCTCCAGCTTCCACTGCAAGGATGTGTGTGTGTGTTGGAGGGTGGGGTGAGGAGTCACCAGATAGGTTTTCCAGATTGGGAAAAGCTGGAGGGGACAGTGGTGGGTACTCTTCAAGGGGAACTTCTGGAAGGGTTCACGACCTGTATTTCATGTATCACTTTTTATTTTTATTTTCTTTAAAAGATTTATTTATTCATACAGAACTGGGGTACAGACCAGAGATGTGGAGGGTGAGAGAATTCACCAGGGACAGAGTGGGGAGCAGAACAGGCAGATCGACAAAATACACTGCTGAGGGGAGCAGCGGGCGGGTCAGGAGAGGTCTGCCACGCCATGTGGTCACCTCTGGGGCAGGCTGGGATCGAACTAGTGTGGAAGTGGCTTAAGCTTCTTAGTGCAGTGCTTTAACCCGCTGCGCCACCAGGGAGGGCCCACTTTTTATTTTTATGAAGAAATTTTAATACTGAAGAATATTGGAAACAACATTTTACTCAACTTATGGATTCAACTGCATTCAGAAAATGGGTAGCTTCAAATGCACTAATAAACAAGGAAGGATGAAATGAATCAGCCATAAATTTCAAAAAGTTAAAAAAATAAGGACCAAATAAACTGTAAGTATAAGAAGGAGATTATTAAGTGAAGAGATAAGAACAGATATTAGTACATTAAAACATAGAATGGGGGAAAATATCTAATAATGTAATCAACTAGTTAGCGTAATCTTGAATAAAGAGGGGAAGCACAAACATACAAAATTAGAAGTGAGAAAAAAAGAAATAACCACAGATCTAGTCATAAAAAAATGTACCCTTCTGAAGAGAGAATGTCATCCATTAACTTTTAAAGCATATTTTGATACTCTCATCTACGGATATAAGCAATGTCCCTCTTAAATAGGGCTTTGGTTTCATCTTCCTAGTGAACCATGATTGAACTAGAGAGCAAAATGAAGAGTAGTAGAATACATCACCCCAAATGATGCCACTTGACGTATTGATTATTTTGAGTAGTGGGCTCTTGAAAAATAAGATGTATATGAAGTGATTTCCTCTGAATTTCCTGTCTAAAGACAGATCCTACTAAAGGAATTCAGTTTTCACATATCCCCTATCAGCGAGTTTCATCAGCCATGGAAACTGACACTGATCTCAGGAGAGGAGATGGGAAGTCGGCACCACACCCAGACAAATGTCATAAACAATCACAGCTCCCTTCTGTGCTACCAAAGGCACATCCATTTTCCCGAAAAATCCCTCTCCATTGTCCCTATTAGTTGCCATTTAAACCTGAATTCTAAGTCATCTTGGGGAGTTACTTATTTTCTGCTGGGTATCTCACATGCATACAAGAGATACATGTGTTAACTAAACGCATGTTTGTCTTTCTCTTGCTAAAATCTTTTATTAGAGGGATCTCAGTCAAGAACTGAGATGGGTAGAGGGAAATTTATTTTTCCTTCCATAGGAAGGAATCCGTAGGGTAAAATGAAATATATGGTAAAATAATTACCCTCTCCACAATTAATTCAGACTTTCCTAAATTATAATGGCATATTTGATGTTCTTGCAGCCTTGCCTTGTTGGATGTAATATGTCATACAACTTCTTTTATCAAATGCAATAGGAAGCTCATACATGGGTGTTTGCAAACTGTGACTGAGAGGAAATCACTCCCTGGTTTTGTCCTCATATTCCTGCTTTATGTGTAGGTCTGATGCTCGTCTTCATAAAGACGACACCGACATTTGCTTTAGTAAAACGCTGAACTCTTGCAAAGTGCCCCAGATCCGTTATGCCACTGTGGAGCGTCTCTTGGAACGACTGACAGACTTGCGGTTTCTTAGTATCGATTTCCTCAACACCTTTCTGCACACCTACCGTATTTTCACTACAGCTGCTGTGGTGCTGGCGAAGCTTTCCGACATATACAAGAGGCCTTTCACCTCCATCCCGGTCAGGTAGGCCGGGATTTGCCTGTCAGGAAAGTGTGGCCCTCCTGGTCCCTAGGTCTCCATGCAGGTGAGGCAGCCTGACACTGGGGCTTTTGACTAGGCTGTGGTTTGCCTTTGAACCTCCATGCCCCACTGGTAGAAGGGAGACAGTAGTGCAGAGGGAGGGAAGGAGTTGAGGACCTTGAAGTCTCTAAGTGGGCTTTGCTTGCTCTGTGATTACTGGGGAAAATAATTCCTTTATTTTCAGCTTTCCTATTTTATTATTGTTTTTGTAATTGGGTTTTTAAACTTGAATAGGCATAAGGTTCACTTGGAGGCCATGGTAAATGGCAGCCTCTGATTCAGTAGATCTGAGTGGAAGCCCAGTTCTACATTTCTAATAAGTTTGCTTCTAGTCTTTTGGTCACAGTTTAGGAGCAAGGAGTTAGACGAGGCCTACAAAGTGTCTGTGTTCCTTTGTGTGGGACACAAAGCATTTGTCGCACTTAAATGAAGAAGAACCGAGTAACAGAAGTGCAATGGTATGATGGCCTTTAAATGTAAAGGGCATGTTCTTGAGGACATGGGGACATTTTCATTTGGCTTCAACCCCTCAATATTTTTGCTCTTATTTTTAGGTCATTGGAATTGTTTTTTGCTACCAGCCAGAACAACAGGGGCGAACATTTGGTGGATGGCAAATCCCCACGTTTGTGTCGTAAATTCTCTTCCCCACCACCACTGGCCGTGTCCAGAACGTCCTCCCCGGTGAGGGCCAGAAAGCTGTCCTTGACTTCGCCCTTGAGCTCAAGGATAGGCGCGTTGGACCTGACCACCTCCTCAGCATCTAGCAGTCCTACGACCACCCACAGCCCTGCTGCATCCCCACCCCCGCACACTGGTAAAGTACCGTTGGATCTTAGCAGAGGCCTTTCTTCTCCAGAACAAAGCCCAGGATCACTAGAAGAGCATATAGATAACCCCCGATTGGATCTGTGTAACAAGCTAAAACGAAGTATTCAAAGAGGTATTATTCAGCTGCCACACCCACATTTACCTGTCATCTTGTTTCCCACGTTCTGGGACACTAGTTCCCTTTCTTTACAAATTTTCTACTTTTGTACAGGAAGCAAAATGAACACAGTGGTAAGTTAGAAGAAGAAATTTCTGTTGTTCCCTCTAGGCTTTGTAGAATGGAGAGCGAGGTTAGCTATCCTTGTATCTTCCATAGCAAAAGTTAAATTTCAGTCAATTGTTTGTAGAACAATAGCTTTGATTACAGTGGTTGACTAAAGAACCTAGCACTATACTTTGCATAGCAGTAGATTGTGGACTCCTTGGTCCATGAGCTGGGCCTCAGAACCTTCTCCTCCAGTGTTTGCTTTAAGCACTGTACTGCTTCCAGCCTTCTCTGCTTAGGGTAAATGAGCGTGGAAGCATAACGATGACTTTTCAGTTTACGATCAAGGCAATGCTCCATCTTTCAAAAAGTGTTATAGGGAGAAAAACAAAATTTAAGAACTGATTTTATGGAGTGTTTATTGTCTGTGACACAGCCCAAGTGGTTTTATAAATGCAAATCAGATCATATTAAATTCTTTAACAACTTCCCATTACACTTAGAATAAAGAACATTCTTCCTCCCAAGTCTAGATTATAGGCAACTTGGACCTGCTCCCTCTCCGACCCCTGCTCTGCCATGCGTCCTCATCTACAGGGCTATATTCACATTGATTTCCTTCCTGTGTCTTTAGAAAACCTTGGTGTTTTTGCCTCGGGGCCTTTGCCCTTGTTCTCCCCTCTGCCTGACCTGCTTTTCCCCATGTAAGTCCCATAAGATCACAACCTTGTCTGTTTTATTCACTTCTACCCTCAATGCCTTGGTCATTTGCCTGAAAGGTAGGACAGTTTGGTTAAATGAATGAATAAAACTCCCAGTGAACCGATTGATAGTTCTATGGCATGTCACCTTACATTCCTCAGCATGGAACAAAATTGGGTTGGAAGAGGTGAAACTTCTTGCTTTTATAATCCAGTGTTTTGTAATGAAATAACTAAGTTTTCCTAGCTAAATTAGCAATCAGGTTTTTTGGCCTTGTAGTAACTGCTTTATTTAGTGATAGCCCAATAAAATTGGGCTTTGAATCAAAGTGTCCAAATTTCAAAGTGTCCAATGAAAGCATAAACCCCTACCTACTCAAAGATTTTACATACTTTCTACCTTAGATCGTTTAAATAAGCTTCCTGAGTGAAGTACTTAATGGAATTTTAACTGGAGTGGTTGTCATCACCAAAAGTAGCACCCTTTTAAACTAGAAATTCTTTAAATTGACAAGTTAGCAACTAAGGCGGAGGAAAGACGGAAGATAATTAAAAGTCATTAGAACAACAAGCTTCACCAGAATCATAATGGATTCTTGGGAATAATGAGGCAATGTACAAGCTGACAAGTGCATCTGGGTTCAACCCAGTGCTGGTGCTTGGGAACACCTTAGAGGGAGTGACTTAGGCTTGTCTCAGACCTCAACCCAGGACAAGGTGCCAGGATGTAAAGGAGCTTCCAAAAAAATATGGAAATTTCCTGTTCACTGCAACCCAGTACATAGGAGGGGAGAAATTCAGAGATACGTCTGGATTCTTGTTATGTTGAGTTAGGTTAGCTTTAGGAATAAATATTTTAATTCAGACATTTGTGGCTCCTAGGCTTTGGTTTGGTTGCTCTTACCTGAAGCTAGGATGAGGACACAAGATCTGCTTATGCGTCTGTGCAAGTTGCTGTACTACAGGGTCCATAATGATAAATAAGAATGTGCCCTGGGCCCTTATACTACAGCTATGTGGAGACGGTAGAAACATAACTGTAAGAGAAGGTGGCACAAGAGGTACAGACAATGTGCTCTTGAGGGATAAAAGCAGGGGAGGTTATTCCTGGTTGGGCAGAATCATAGAGTGTTGTTAACATGAGCCAAGAGGAATGGAGAGGGTGGAAGGAAGAGTCAGGTGAACTTATGGGTAAAGAGAACTCATGAGCAAAGAGCTAGTGTTAATTCCCAGTGGTGAAAGCTGTTTCTGATAACTGCTGAAAGCCGTTTCTGAGAGCAAGACATAACTGCTTCTGAAGGGACACCTTCCAGTTCTGATGCCACCCGCAGTCCTGTAGACTAGACCTGTTTCTGATGGTCCTAAGCCTTTCCAGCATCAAGTGAACTCTTTCTTACAAAGCTTTCCTAAAGAATATTTTTCCTTTTCTTATTCTGTCTCTTCCCCTTTGCCTGTATTCTCTTCCTCCTCCTTCTCTTCCACAGTCTTAATCATGTTTAAGTGTGCAGTTCAGTAGTAGTAAGTATATTTACATTGTTGTTCCTCTGTTCTCAAAAACTTCTTTGTGTTGCAAACTGAAACCTGTACCCATTAAACAAATCCCCATTCCTCCTCCCCACACCCAGCCTCTGAAAACAACCATTATTCTATTTGCTATGACTATAAATTTGACTATTCTATGTGCCTCATCTAAGTAAAATCATACAATATTTGTTTTCTTATTACTGTCTTACTTAGCTTGTTTCAAGTTTTATCAGTGTTGTAGTATGTTCCAGGATTTCCTTCTCTTAAAAGACTGAATAATATTTCATTATACATACATGCATGTATATGCATATTTATGTATGCATGTAACATGAATGTATGCATGTATTCATTAGCCATTCACCCTCTGATAGACATTTGGGTTTCTTCTCTTAGCTGTTATGAATAATGCTGGAATGAATAAGGAAGTGTAAATATCTCTTTGAGATCCTGCTCTCAATTCTTTTGGATATGTACCCAGAAGGGAAATTGCTTGCTCATCTGGTAATTCTATTTTGAGGGACTTCCACTCATTCTTTTTTTTTATTTTAGCGGACATACCATTTTACATTTCTACCAGCAGTACACTGGGTTCTGATTCTCTTCATCCTTTTGATAGTGGCCATCCTAGTGACTGTGAAGTGAGACTCTTCCTTTTTGCCTTTTTCCTAGAGATTGTATTGTAACTTGGCTCAGCCCTATTGGTATGGATATTAATTTTTTCTTCAACAGGTAACCATAAGAAAAATCTATTTCTCTTTGCACTATAGTCTAAATATGGCATAGTTCTAAAGGCCCTCAATCTAGCTGTCCATTCCCACCATAATGAATTTTTCCACTTTGTCTTTTTACACGTTGCTTCACAAAAGTTTTCTAGTGTTAGTCTTCAAAGCCAAAGTCCCACATGTATAGTGATTGTCCAGTGCAATCTCATACAACCTACTTGGTCCACTGTCCAGGATGCCAGTGTGGTCACGAGGAGGAATCAGTAGTTTCTGTCTCCTGAAGCAAACTTCAGGTTGAGGAGACCAAGATATATGAGAAAGAAATTAATCAAGTTCCCAAGGAAGAACACTGACAAAGACTGCAAAGACCTCTCTCTGCAGAAGTTGATAGAGGTGGAATCTTTGTGGGCACAGCTAGTGGAGTCTGTACCCACAAGCATTATTAATTGACTAAGGCCCATGAGTAATGGCATGGCAGAAACATTCGTTTCTCTCTCATGTTAGAAACATAGCTAAGTATGAAGGCCTAATGCCAATGTTTCTCAAAATTAAATAATATGCAGTTAAATTTTCAAGGTTTATTTTATCCATATACTCATGGGTCAGAAATGTCACTTTGTGATTTCAGATTATGGTTAGATATAGAGTTTCTCTCACTTTTTATGTCTGGGTGGGCTCCATGATATTTGATGAAGCCCATAAAGCCAACCTCTCCATCAGATACATGAGCTACTCCACCATCTGTGATTCTCATTCACATCTACCCATTGATGTGCCCCCTCATCTCTCTCATTTTTACCACAATTTCCCATTCTTAGCCCTTCCATTAAACACTTTATTTCTGACCATTATTCCTGAGCACTGCGTTGCATCTTCCTTTCCCCAGTCTGTAGCCATCTTCTGATTACTTTGTATGCGCCTACTTCCCAACTTGTTCTTAAAAATGTTTAATGTGGTAGCTCAAAGGGGCATGTGGTACAACTGGACTAAAAATCAAATTGATGAGGCTAGGCAATGAAGACCAATTCTGTGAGGCCAAGGGAATGACTAGTGAGCAAATGAATGCTGTGTGGTTCTTCTCAATTTACAGTCGCTCTGACTTGGATTCTGAGTATTATCAATTAGGAAACTATCAATTATCATATAGGAAACCAAGAAAATTGATGTGGAGGTACATCTTACCCTGTTACAGAGACTTGAGAACAATTTATCCTGTGGATCCTCATTAAGAAAACCGTGTGTAGAAATCTTAGAATCAATAGTGGAGTCTAAAATGTTCTTTGGCGGTTTTCTGAGTAGATGAAGCATATGGACCACAGATTAGTAGTCTCTTTTATTTTTCATTGGTATATGGGCAATATTGGTCATGAGTACTCTTAGGAAAGTCAGGCATGAAATTCTTCCATATCCGCTGACGAATTCAGTGTGTATGCATGTACATGTGCCTGCACATGTCTATAGGAGCCAAGAGTACTGCTGTGTTAACTCTGCTGTCTAGTGTTGAAAATTCCAGTTGGCAAAGAAAAGGGAGACACTATCTGTCTTTAATTTGAAAGATGTTTTCCTGTGCTTTGCATAATGTTAACACTTAAAACAGTTGGCGAACTTAAATAGGATTCTTGTGCCAAGAGTGGAGGATACGTTTTCGGCTTTTTCACTTCAAGATACAACTTCATACAACCTCATTGTATACTACTAGCTTCAGTCATTAGTTCCATTCTGAGATGAGCGGTCTCTCTCATTGCTGTCCTTCTAGACAGTTTCAGGGTATACTCTGAAAAATACCAGTGACCCAAATTTGTCCAGTTGTGTTGTCATTGCATTTATATTGCCAACCTGTAATATTTCCTGGCAAGAGAACTTCAAATCACATGAAGGGAAAGAAGGAATATAGGACATGTCCTTTGAAATTAGCAAGACTATGAATTTCTTAGGGAAAAACCAGTGCAGTTTTCCCCCCAGATCTGTTCTATGCTGATCTAACACTCATCAGTGCCCTTTTTCTTCCTGCTAGTTCCATCTTTTTCTAGCCTGAATTCTTCTAAAAAACACAAATGTTAGTCCAATTCACATCAAGATTTCACCTAATAGTGTGTTCTGAACAAAAATAAGTTTGTGATTTTTGTTCAGAACAAACTTATGGCAAATCAGGAGAACTGCCAGGTGCTCCCTGTCTGGGGTCCCTGACCCAATAGTGTTCCCAGGGACCATGACTGTGAATCCAGCCCGAGCACTGCCGCACAACTCACTTAACTAGTGTCTGTTTCTGGGTTCTTAGTTTGAAAATTGCCTGCCTGTGGGCTGAAAGTGCTCCCAATTTTAGCATTTGTTTTGAGCCCACATCTGCCCACTCATTCTGCAGGCAAAGCTGTTTGCATAGAACTTGATTGAAACTGAACATGCCAGAAGGAAATGCTTCTTACCCCCCAACTTGCTGATATGGCTTCTTCTCTCTGTGCCTCTTTGACTACAATGTTATTTGTTTTCCAGTTACTTCAGTGGACATTTTGGGCCTGTCCAGCTTTATTGCTGGGAATTGTTTTTGGATTCAGTGTAATTGCTGACTAAATGATTTTTTTCATTTGCCTCAGAGGGATGAATGGTTGAATCAACCCCTAGGATATGTATTTGATATTCTGCTTGCTCTTACAGAGCAGATGCCTCCCATTACTGAATTTTGAGGGAGTTATTTAGAAGATAATAAAACTAACAGCTAAGCACTGAATTTTTTTGTCTGCCTCTTGCCAGCTTTACTGTAATTATGTCATTCAAAGAAAGATACCAACCATTTCCTCTCCCTGGACTTTTTGTGCTTCAGAAAGGCAGAATTGTGGCTAAATTTCTAAGAGAGGAATTATAGGCAAGTGTAAAAACAGATTTATATGAAGTCATTAGGGATTTTGTAAAGTTTGCATGATCTCCATTGGGAAGCAAAGGGAATTGAGTTGGGAGTCATTCTACTGAAAGGGGTAATACACACTTTGTGGAGGTAACCCAGTCTTGAGAAATCAATGAAAAACTCAAACAAGGGAAGTGCATGAATTATTGGATAGTTATGAAGTTTTTGTAGTGCTTTTCCTTGGAAGAATACACAGAATTTGTTGTTTTCCTAGTAAACAATCCAGCTAGAGGAGTCCAGAAACATCAACAGTAAAAGTCTAAGTTAGAATAACATGTCTTATCCACGAGATACCATGGAAAGGTTTAAATTATCTAAAAGGCTTCCAGTTGTTCAAGGTAAAATTTCCTATTTGCCTCTGGCTGATCTGTAGCTCTTGATCAGAGCTTTCCAATAGAACGTTTCAGGAAGACGGACATGTCCTGTTGGTGCCGTCTGCTCTGTCCATATGACTCCTGAGCACTTGCCATGGGGCAAGTCCCAGTGTTGCACTGATTTGTTAGTTTGACTTCAATTTTAATTTATATTTCCATAACCACCTTAAGTTAATGCTTCCACTTTGGGCAATGCAACCCTAGATCCTTAGAAATCCCAGAGCTTCCTGGGGTGCCACATTGGTGGAGAATCAAACTTTAGTAGACGTACAGGAATAACCCAAGTAAAGGACGAATGAAGTCCCTACTTTGATTGCAGTCTGATTTCCAGTCTGGAAATGTCCCACTTAATGCATTCCAAATTCTAGAGAGAGGGGTTCCATTGTATGCTTCGTGCCCTATTTCACATCTTTTGTTGTATTGGACAGAAGGGACTTGGTAGGGTAGGTCTTAGAGACAAACATCAAAAAGAATGACGTTTAGATTTGGCTCATCAGTATTCTGCCCCACAGGAATGACTTCATCTTATATTAAATCCCTTTGAAGATACACACTAACCGTTTATATCTTTGTTAGTATTTTGAAAGTATAGGGTTTCCCTTGGTGTAGTCACTGTAGCACACCAACCCCTGAAGCACCATAGTCCTTCACCATAGTCCATTTTGCTCTCAAATCAGCCCTTGAAAGCTGACCAGAGAATTGAGCCATTGGGGGAAGGTGGGGGAGGATGAGACCTGCGTGGGGAGAGAGCACAGAGGTGGAGGACTCTGGCTGTTTTGATGGTGGGTGTTCTAAGGTGAAACCTGAGGGGGTGAAACCTCATACGAACAAAGATGTAAATCAGCGGCACTTGAATAGTATTTTTTTTTTTTAAATATAAGATTAAATAGTAACAATATCATCTAAAATAATTGAAAGTGAAAGTGATAGATCTCTCTATATAAGCTGATAGGAAATGCTTATCATCCAGAGTGAACTTTTTTTTTTTTAAGATTTATTTGTTTATGCATACAGAACTGGGGTACAGACCAGAAATGCAAGGGCGGTGAGAGGATTCACTAGACAGAGTGGGGAGCAGAACAGGCCGATTGATGAAGTACACTGCTGAGGGGAGCAGTGGGTGGGTCAGGAGAGGTCTGCTGTGCCTTGTGGGTCACCTCCGGGGTGGGGATCGAACTCATGCTGAAGTGGCCACCGCCATCTTTGCAGTGCTGCACTTCAGCCCGCTGCGCCAGGGAGGGCCCGATAGTGAACATTTTTGTTTCCATGTATAATGCTGCAAGAAGTGCCTGAATTCATGGTATGGATGTTATATTCGTATTTTCAAGCAGCCATCCTGGAGTCTGCACCAGCGGACCGAGCAGCCGCGGAGAGCTCGTCGGCATCGGACACCACAGAACTTTCACCTTGCAGGTCTCCGTCTACCCCACGACACCTCCGCTATCGGCAGCCTGGAGGTGAGGGCACAGGAGCGACTCAGACAGAAAAGTGGGAAATGATTTCTAGTTTCTCAATCTTGCTTTCGTAGCTAAATATTTTTTGACTCAGTTATGAAAATTAGTTGTAAGCAAATAATGTTATAGGGCTAAGTAGTGGAAAAATAGACGATTAGAGAACGTGCCATATGTGTCACTGATATTTCTTGGTTACATCCCTGCCCTGCACTTTATGTGGAGTAATCAAAGGAGCCTGCCTGTACCTGACTACTAATGGAAGTGGCTCACACCGCAGTGTTCCCTTACTCTAATACCTGATAGGGGTCGACGTGTTGTCTATAAGTAAGCTTATTTGGGAAGCCACAATTTTTATGGGGAGGCCTTATGAAGAACACAGTTCATCTAAAATACGTTCTGGTTGCATGTTATCCCCATTGTCATCATAGCTAGTGGCAGAAAATGTCATATTTCTGACAGTTATGGCAATTAAAAAGTATTACCTCTTAATTTGCTTTAGAATGTATCAAATGCCCTCATATTGAAGGGGCAAAAACCCATCAAAGCAAAAGGAAAAAACCCTTGATCTCCCATTTTTCCCTCTACACAAAGAAATATTTCCAAATAGAAGTTAGGTTTTTTTTTTTTTTTTTTTTGGTTGTTTGTTTGTTGGTGAGGCCAATTATTTCAAGTCAGAAGGGAAAATTATACAGTTATAAAACCAGATTCTTCCCAGGTCACCCAAGTGAAATGTGAAGACATTTCTTGACTTTCATATTGGTGTTTTCAGTAGAATTCAGCAAAAGCTGAATTGGTCATTTTATTTGTAGCCTTTTCCACATGGTACACAGTTGTCATTGATCAGCTCCAGGGACAATGAGGCTGGGTCAGGATGTTGTCTAAAGATTTACCTTTCATGATATTAACCCTTGGGGAATGGACTGACCTCAAGTTCCAGGTCACCTTGGTGTCTGTGTGATTCTATAAAGGTGACAAGCTAGCCTTGGCTGGCTTGTCATAGAGCTATTATAGAATAAGCCAAACCTCTTTACTATTTTTAGAGCCTTGGTCAGTTCAGGCCTTGGCAACTTGCTTGACCATTACCACATGGGACCTGGGAGAATTTGTGCCAAAACCTGTGGAAGCAAGAGTAAAGTGCTGTTCACTTGTTACTATTATTATGGCTGTCTTGTAGTGTCTTTTCATATATTTATCTTCATATCTAAATTTCTCAGTTTATATAAGCAATATGTAGAGATTCTTTTCCTGTTTAAGGATTAATTAAGTATTTTTTCTTCCCTAATATAACTAAGCCACGTTCTTCCTGGGAACATAGGAAGAGCTGGAATCTGTGATAGTAGGATCCAAGTGGGGACAGAATCACACATTTTTCACTGTATAGCTGAAATTTTGCCTGTTTATCTGTCTCTTTGCCACCTAGTTCCACTCATGTTTTAAGGCTACTCTAACAAAGAGGGTAGAACTCTTCTGTGCTTTTTTCCTTGGCCATGTTAACCAGCTTGTTGCTTCCTCTCTATTTATTTTAAGTCTGACTATATAACTTCAGGGGCAAACTGATAAGAACCCTTTGGGTCAGAATTGCAGCAAACTATTTTCACCAAAACACTCATGTGAGAAAAATAGTGAGGTTGGCATGAATGCTGTCAGCTGTGTAAAATATCTGGGGAGTGAAGGGACTGCCAGTGGTTCCTTCAAAAGTATCTAAAAAAGAAAATGGGTAAGATGATGTAGAATATTTAAAAAATATTTTTATATTGTGATAGAATTCAAATAAACCATTTAAAAATATGTAGTTCACAGGTTTCATATTTAACAAGATTGGCCAGCCATAACCACTGTCTAATTTCAGAACATTTCATCACTTCAGAAAGATCCTTATACCCATTAGCAATCTCGTTTTCCCTCAACCCATCCCTGGCAACCTTGAATCTGTTTCCTGCCTCTATGGGTTTGCCTTTTCTGGATTTTCATATAAATGGAATCACACAATATATGTCCCTTTGTAGTGATGTCTTTCACTTAGCATATTTTCTTTTTTGAGAAATCTCATGAATGCATTTATTTTTAATTGAGGTAACATTTGGTTCTCCCCTGAGGGTATTACCACTGTCCTGCTCCCACCACCAAATCACCCACAGTCCACCACCACAGTCCGTTGTATTTATATTCCTTCCCTCTTTGGTTTTACCCCTCACCCACCCTCTTGATGCTTCATTTATATAATCATCCTTCAAGGATTAGTTTTGAGCTTTTCTTTATCTGACTCTTAATTTAATTATGTTATATCCTACATATTAATAACATTATCTGGTATTTATCTTTCTCCTTGTAACTTATTTCACTTAGCATTATCCCTTCCAGCTCCATCCAAGTTGACACAAATGGCATGAGTTTATTTTTTTTTACCACTGAGTAGTATTCCTTTGTATATTATTATCATATACCACATATGGTATAACGTATATGTAAATATATATGTATATATCATCTTGATACATTTATCTGTTCTGGGGTATGTATATTGTTTCCTTAATTTAGCTATAAAAATAATACTGCAGGAAACATGAGAGTGCAAGTTTCCTTTTGAATTAATGTTTTTGAACTTTGGGGTGGTAGATGCCTAGAGGTGGAGTTACTGGGTTGAATGGTAGATCCATTTTTGATGTTTGGAGACGCTTCTATACTGCTTTCCATTAAGGTTCACTTTTCTCCACATCCTGTTGTTTCTGGTCTTTTCAATGTGGGTCATTTAGTATGAGATAGTATCTCATGTGGTCTTAGTTGTATTTGCCTAATGATAAGTGATGTTGAACATTTTTTCATGTGCCTTTTTTGCAGTCTGTAGAATATAATTTTTAAAAATTTATATATGGATTTTTCTACATCATTGTTCCTCTTGGGCATAATCCCCATCAAATTCCCACCACCAAGTCACCAATAAACCATCACCCTAGTCTCTTTTGCTCTTCCCTGTTCTGATCCCTCTCCTTCCCTATTTCCTGCTGAATATCCCCAGTTTATCTTTTGTCTGCTAGTTTTGTTTTTTTTTCCTGATCCTTTGTTTAATTCTCCTATATTCTTCCCATTAGTGAAACCATTCAATATTTTTCTTTTTCCTTCTGCTTTATTTCACTGTGCATAATCCCTTCCAACTCCATTCATGTTGCTGCTGCAAATAGCATGCTTTATCATTGTGACTGCTGAATAGTATTCCATTTGTATCTTGTAGGCATAGTATTTTCAAGGTTCATTCATGATGTAATATGTATCAGTACTTCATTCCTTTTTTAGGTTAAATAATATCCCCTCATGTGCATATACCACTTTTGATATATCCATTCATCACTTGATGGGTATCTGGTTATTTCTACTCTTTGGTGATTATAAATAACACTGTTCTAGATATTCATCCATAAATTTTTATGTGGATGTATGTGCTCATTACCTAGAATGGAATTGCTGTTGTAGAATACAAGGCACATAGGGTGTTTGTCCAAACCCTTCATTCAGTGCAGGAATGACAATGAGAATTTTTATTACAGATATTACCCATCTATTTCACCCTGCTTTCCATTCTTTTTAAATAATCAGGACAGACCGCTGACAACTCCCACTGCTCCGTTTCACCTGCTTCTGCTTTTGCTATTGCCACAGCTGCCGCAGGACATGGCAGTCCACCAGGTAAGTCGGGGCAAACAAATAAGTGTGGACACAGACATTTATATTGAATAAGTGACGACTCTTGCCTGCCATATCTTGATAATAAGGTGGGTGGCTTATTAGGAATGCAGGTCCCCAGTTTTCCTTTTAAATCAGTGTTTTTAATGTTTCAAATAAGCACCTTCGGACTATGGTGATAGCACACAGGTGTATTGGTGAGATGGAAAAAGGCACAAAATGATGTAAAAATAAACTATTACAATAATAATAATAAAAAACACCTTTGGGTGAGTCTGACACAGGTACTTTGTGGGTTCTTTTGAGACCATATGTACCAGAGAAGGATGTTCCTTTCTCCCATGTTGCTTTATGGAGTTTAAAAAACATTTTTAACTAAATTACTCAGCACACGTATTTCCTTTTTTAATTGAGTACAATGCTAAAAGCATATGAAAGGTGGGAGGGAAGACTTGTGAAGTAAGGAGGAAGGAGGGAACTATTGCTTTAGCTGACTCACAGTTCATTTCCAGTGGCTCCACGATGCTTTCTTAGTTGCTGTCAGTTAATTTTCAAGGTAAAGAAGTAGTACTTAAAATAAAAGCATGGTATTTAATAAGTGAAAATTACATTCATTATCTCTGCCCCCTTCTTTTATCAAGAAGGACATAATGTTAAAATAAATCTATATGTGTTTTAAACAGCAGTGTTGCTGAGTCTTCACCTAACTAATCCTATGGCTTCTGATCATCATGCTTTGTAGAACTGTGTGTGATGATGTTTTTTGTTCACTCACTCAGCCTATGAAAGCCTCAAAGCCTATGAACTGATATTCAACAATAGTCACTCATAGAACTATGTTAGCTCTTTCTAAATTGAAACAAAACCAAATAGAGATGTTCTGTAATAAGCATGAACCACCATGATCACTATGTACATCCCATATGAATGGAAATTTTTGCAGATTGATCACACTCACCTCCTTGAATATTTTGCACAAATCTGTATTGGATATTGTCAGGCAAATCTGAGTGTTTTTTGCCCCAACTATTTCCCAAACCCCCAAACTACTATCATCACAACACAAAACAGCCTGTAATGATAGAGTATTGGTGTCTTATCAGTCCTGTTGACTGCTATTATTGATTGCACTCTACAATAATGAACCTTTCTTTGGTCAAATAATAAAGAAATCTGTATTATGTTCCCAGCAGAGTTAGTTATCAACTGTGATTTGCTAAAGCTCTCTGTTTTTCGTTTTCACAAGTTAATCTGTCTTTAGAAAAAAGTGAAATACAGCGCTTCCTCACAGGTTTCATAACTTAAATATAGTTTGTGAGGGAAAGTCATTTTAAGGTTAATTTAGGTTTAGCTGAGCCTCTTCCCACAAGTGCTGGAGGCTAGGTTGGGCAAGACCCTTTATTTCACCTGAGTTTTCAGCAAAGCTCCAGTGAGCTTTAGAGAATGACTTTCTGACTTTGACTTGTTTAGAATAATATGCCAGAAGGTTTAAGTACTGAACAGTCATATCTTCCTCACATCTAAACACTGCTGTTCTGGCTGCCCTTCTTCCTAATTCTCCCCTGTAACTGAAATAGCCTTAGGAAGAATCCTTTCTTAATGAAATCAACTAAGAGGCATGTGTGACGTGCTCACTGACCAGAGCCCGTGTTGCTAGATGCAAGGAAGCCTGATCCTTGGTGAGCATACTGTTTTATTACAGTGCTTTATGCAGTCAGGAATCACATGATTCAATTTTAGAAATAAAGAAAATAAAGGATTGAAATTGACAGTGTCTGGGACCCTGATATAAAGGCAGCGATTTGCACACAAGTCACAACTAGTGGCAGCAAGTAAAAGGGTCTCTCTGAGTGGAGAGCAGTACATTCCTGAGGTTCAACCACTCAGCAGAACTGGCCCTGCAGCCAGTTCCACCTGCCTGGGAGAACTTTGCAGAAGAGTTCAGGTTCTAAAGTCACCAAGGGAAGCGGGCTTGCAGCTGCAGCAGGAGTTGTCTGAAGATAGGAACTCAGGGTGTTTTCTGGAGGCACGGGAGCAAAGAAACTCACCAGAGCCAGAATGAGGGACACAAAGATGGGAGATGGGAGAGTCAGTCTGTGTAGAAAGAAGGGCTAGTGGTGCTCCTTTATAACCTGTTTGTGTGGGCTCTTCTGTGATTTGGGGCTTAAGTCTGTCGCTTATTGGTTGTTATTTGCTGGACATCAACTTTTGATGCTTCAGCGTAAAAGGTGTCCAACCTGATTCTGTTTGCCATTTCCACCTTCCTTGGAGTTCTCTATAGTCCCTTACTGGTCTTATGGACCCATGGCCAGGTTCCCATGGCAACTCTGTTGAATTCCTTTCTTCTCTGTTTTATATCTCCCAGCATTGTTCAGCAGAGCAAAATGCAAGAGACTAAGTTTTCGCTCTAATAAATGATATATTGACAAAGCTGATCTGGATATTTTGGCTAGCCAGCTGCTGAAAAGGAACACGTGCTAGATAATGGTTAATTCCCAAACTGGATTTTGTTTCTGTTCAGAATCGGAAGTAACTGACTGACTGCACCCTATAGCCTGGAAAGTTGCAAAGTGAGCAGAAGGGAAGCTGGTGGAAGTGAGCATCTTATGCTTGCTTCAGGCTCCCCAGGGCTTCTGTGTGCTTGTGCAGGTGCAAAATGGACTCATTTCATGGTGCAGCTCCACTGTTTCCTTGCCCACTGCAGGGAGTGGGTTCCTGTCCCGCTATGATGTCTGCAGAAATGTGTTCCCATGTTTCAGGCTCCTCTTCAGCTCCCCTGCCGCCTTAATACTTACACCTTCCCGCCCCCATCCAAATACTCTGGAATCTGGCTACTTGGGGTTATAACTGTTAACTAATGACTATGCTTTCAAACAGTCACATTAGGCATTTACATGTTAAGCCATTTCTCTTTAATAATTTCTTAAAAAAACATTCCATTAAAATTAATTTCAAATTTAGCAAGAGTGTGCATAGGAAATTTTCTTTGCAAAGCAGCCTGCCAAGATATTCACAGCTGCCTTTTTTTTTTTTTTTAAAGATTTATTTATTTGTGCATACAGAACTGGGGTACAGTCCAGAAGTTCAGGGGTGGCGAGAGGCTTCACCAGAGACAGAGTGGGGAGCAGAACAGGCAGATCGACAAAGTACACTGCTGAGGGGAGCAGCGGGCGGGTCAGGAGAGGTCTGCCACGCCATGTGGTCACCTCCGGGGCAGGTGGGAACTAAACTCATGCAGAAGTGGCTTCAACTTCCCAGTGAGGTGCTTTAACCCGCTGCATCACCAGGGAGGGCCAAGAAAACAGATTTTATTTGTGGAAGGTTGTCTGGGATCTGCTAGAGTCAAAACCTCATTCCCCACTCTCTTAACACATTTCCTTGAGAGCTTAAAACCTGCCCTTTTCAAGATAAGTAAGTCTCTTCCTTCCATATCATGCTTCTGTTGCTTGTAGATCAGCAATAATACCTGTTGAAGAGGAAGGAAAGCTAGATTCTGTGGGTGTGATGAAAGCACTAAAACAGTTCTTGTTAATTTCACATTATGGAGATTTTCAGTTTATTCAGTATTTACCTTCTGAATAGTAACCAAGTTACATTAGCCCCACTTCTAACACCTTCAGTTTGCCTCAAGGCAAAGAATGTAAAATGACAGATACAAACCTTAAGAACCATTCAGGACTTTAGAAGTGGTACATACACCTTCAGAGGTTCTGAAATTTCAGCCTCAGTGGCTTCCTTGTAAATCTGCTTAGAGCCCACAGAAAACTAATTACTGTGAATGGGGTGGGAGTGGGGGCTGTCATTATTGCTCAATCTAGTAAGGGCTCTTTCCTGTGGTGGAGTTTTAACTCTATACAAGATTTGAGAGAAAAGAGTCAGTGGGGGCTGTTTGTCACCATGCTGGTTGCAATGAGTTTCCAAACCTCTGCTTAAATATAGGATCCCTACATTAGAGGAGAAATTAAAATATGTTCATTTCACATGACTGCTGATACAGGGAATCTTCAGGTGCATTTGGATACAGTTATGTTATGAATAGGAATGCAAATCCAGTGAATATCACGGCACAGCATAACCCTTACCTGAAGCTCTAGGATTAATTATACAGTTTATGAAATGATCTAAAATGAAAGATGAAAGTATGAGGTGGGCTATTTTTATGAGAATAGAGACAGTGGAAGTGGAGATACTGCACGCAACTCCTGATTCCCCTGATTATTTGTGAGCAGATTACATGTTTCACCGTTCTGTGCAAGTCAAAGAAAATTAACAGGGTAGAGGAGTGGTTGAATATACTTATAGGAAAATTAACGGCGCAGTTACAGTTGCTTAGAGAAACAGTGATTTCTTTATTGGTGATTACTCAGTACGTATAAAGCAGATAATTCATAACTGCTTACTCTCCTGTCAAACCACTGAGACCCACGTAGTCAAGAGTAGATCTCAGAGCTTGGTGTGAAGTAGTCTGGGACCCGTATTTTAAAAACTGATACCTGTTCCCATCCCCAGAGTTTCTGACTTCATTGGACTGAGTTCATGCTGGGATTCAGGGCTTTTTAAAGTTCCCTAGGTGATCCTAATGTGGAGCCAAGGTGGGGGTGGGCACTGGACTAGATGTCCATAGCATTTGCAAGTTGTTCCCTTAAAGTCCTGACCCTTATCTCCTTAGGAAAGACAAAAAGACTAGAGAAGGCTGGAGAGGAAGAAATGCACTTCCCAAGGCTAGATAAGGGCCAGTAAGGATCCGGTGAAAGCTTTTTCCCCTGGGGAGTAGGTCTTTGCCACAGAGGAGGTGCCGGGAACATTTTACAGGGTTGGTACTCTTCCTCTTCCCTGCAACATTCATGAAGAGATCTTTGTCTTTTGCATGAACACCTGGTGTGGCTGCCAGGTAAAGCCTGAAGGGTATGGGACCACCTAAGAATGCAGACCTAGGCAATTTTCTGCTGTCACACTAGTCCCCACACAGCCTCCAGCAATTTGTGATTGTTCAAGAAAGTGTT